TTCAAGTCACTGGTGTCTTATGATTAGGCTCAATCAACTGCTCAGCAGGCAACATTGGTGTTTCTGGCACGAAGAATAGAGCACAAAATCATGGCTACTATGTCACACTGCAGAATACAGTGTTGCCCAAAAACCAGCTGTTTGATCATACCATAAGATTATCTATCTCTTAAACAATTAATAACTATTTCAATATACGTTTGGCTGAAAAACGATTTTCTGCAAAGTTGTAGCTTGAAAAATTTCCCATTATTATGGTATATAAAACTTTTTAACAGTGTTATATGGAAAAAGGCTAGAAGACAATGAACAAAAAGTTTGGTTTTCCCATAGTAGTTTCCATATAAACTTCAAATTGTTTGTGCCAAATCAGTTTTTTTTACCAAACGAGTTCACATTTTGGGAGTCTAATCAGAACCCAATTTGAAACTTTTTAAACTCTGTTGAGCGAAAATTTCAAATTGTTCATCAGTCTGATGTTTATTCTAATGTATTCTCATGATTTTCTTAAATACGTAGTATGATTCAATGTATTGATATTCAATTTGTTTAATTAATTTATTTCCATAAAGCAAGTATTTGAACAAGGATCTCTTGGAAAACTATCCGAATTACCTTTTAAAATAATCCACCAATCAATTCCCTTCAGCTTAAACAGCCAAAAATTCGCTTATATAGAAAATGCTTGCCTGTATAATAGTCGGTAGATATTTTTTTTTTTTTTTTTTTGTCGGATTTCCCATGAAATATTTTTGATTAAATTTTATAATCTTTTCTTAAATTCAACCGAAATTCGGTGAAAAACAATTTTATTGTAGTTAGAATCAGAGTCGAAATGAGAGCTTCCATCCCGGGATGAAAATCCAGGTATTGTGGCATTTCCCGGGAAATAAATTTATAAATCCCGGGATCGCGTGTAGCTGTAGCTGAATCCAGAACTTTCACATCTTATGAAATATATCTCTTCCCTTCGTTTGTCATTCATTCTGATTTATCGAAAGTATTGCACACAGATATCATCGTTGTACAAGAAGCACTCGTGAAAAATACGATCTAGCAGTGAAACAAACCGTGAACATTTTGATAAAATTTTATAATCGCCTATCTAGATGGTACATAGACGAAAATCAGGTTGAGCGTTGTAAGATGTCCATCATTCATAGTTGATCGAAAAACCATTAAAATGCATTGTTAAGATGGCTGGAAGTACGTAGTACTAGTCTCAACTGATAATGTCCTTCCTTAGATTAGCGAGCTGAATCTTGTAAAATGCTGACTCCTTCTGGAGGAACTTCTATATATCACCGTTTTCTATCTTCGCTTCCATAGCTCTCCATCGCTGTCATTTGTTACGCACAAAGGTATGCATCACCTTTACCCGTTAGTATGTAAGCTATGTAATCCTAAAGCATAATCATCATGATCTGCACGGACTATTGTGAAATTTGTCGAACAAACATAACATCACGTCACATTAGGGAATTTCTTAGATATCAAGAGACATTCATTTGATTTCAGAGAACTTCATAGAAGTTCGTGGAACTTCGTAAAACCTCAGGGACCATCATAGATCTTCAAGATAGTAGAATGTTAAACAACTTCGTGGACGATGATTACGGAACATCGCATGAATTATTTGAAATTTGTACAAGTTCAGCAAGATGGGCAGTTGTACCTATCGAAAAATTAAAAGATGTAAGCTATGGAAAAATCTTTGAAGTACTGGGAACTTCAAAGAAGTTGACGGAAAATCCCAGGATTTCGTCAAATATTCTACATATTCAGGGAACTTTATATAGACTTTGAGTTCATGGAATCTTCGTATAACTGATATTCACGAATTTGCGATGATATCTATGGATATTATTCAAGACTTTCCAACTTAATCAAGTAATGTTCTGAAGATCTGCAAGTGTTCAAAAATTCAAAAAAACATCTTTTAGACATCCTTCCAAGACGGAAGTTTAATTAAAGAGTATTTAAAGGATATATAGCTGGTCGGAGATTTAAAGCCGACTGGATATTTTTCAATACTTCAGGTTGATTAATTAAGATATTCAACTGTTCGTAAAGTTCAAATTAGGGAATCTGAAGATCTTACACTGGTAAAACATTCAATTGGCTTTCTCAATATGGCAGATCAGTTAGGAAGTACTTGAAAGATCTCTAGCTGATCGAAGATTTCAATAAAGTTCTCTGGATATTTTTCAAGGCTTCAGGTTGATCAAGTATTATTGCGAAGATATTCTCCCAAAACTGAACGTTGATTAGGAAGTATTCAAACGATCTCCAGCTAATCGAATATTTCAGTTAAGTCCTGTGAATATTCAATTTGATCTAGTTTTATTCTGAAATATCCGATTTTGGTTACATTATTCATATTCAACATATTCAGGAAGAAGTTTAAAATATGAAATCAAAAACTCTTCATATGCCAGGTTAAAATTTAAAAAATCCATCGGAAGTCTTCTTCAGCTTCCGCATGTCTTGAAACAACTTCACAAATCAAGAGATGTCTTCAAAATGTCTGCATGAAAAAAATACCTTCACAGAATTTTAAATGTCTTCAAAATGAAGATATGTCTTTAAATGTGGTGTCCCTACTATTGAAGAAATCTCCTTTTTTTAATTTTTCTTCGAAGGAGATGAAACATACGAATATTAAAACAATTTACTAATTTTATTTACTTCCCGGGATACCGGGATCTCCCGGGTTATCAAATAAATATTTACCAAATCCCGGGATGGTGGATGCCACCGGGAAATGGAAGCTCTAGTCGAAATTAAGGAGAGTCGGTTGACTTAAATAGATCCAGGTCCAAATATTTTCATCACTTTTAAATCTTATGTAGCCCCGTAGTGTGGGTAGATCACCTTTTCGTGGTACGTTACGGCATGTAAGATCTACCAACGATTCCTAGTCCCGACTACTTCAAACTAGGGGAACAGGATTTTTCAGTAATCCAAGGAACACATCTTAGTCCTTGTTACTTTTTATACCTTGTTGATAGTGACAAGACCCGGCTTTGTCTACCGAGGATGATCTTTAAACAAGGAAAAAATGAGTTAGTTGTCTTCATATATGTGATTCCTAGTCTTCTATTCATTGTTCCCTAGTTCCTGACTAGGGGAACAGGATTTTTCAGTAATCCAAGGAACACATCTTAGTCCTTGTTACTTTTTATGCCTTGTTGATAATGACAAGACTCGGCTTTGTCTACCGAGGATGATCTCGAAAGAAGGAAAAAATGAGTTAGTTGTCTTCATCTATGTGATTCCTAATCTTCTATTCGTTGTTCCCTAGTTTGAAGTGGTTAAGACTAGGGTTCTGATGCATGGTCATTATCGGTGTCATACTTTAATTTTGTTGCTAAGGAATCCAATTTTGATTGACAAAGGGGCGCGCCTTTGGAGGGTGTTTCAACACTCCGAAGGGTATAAATAGCGGGACCTTTCAATTAGAGTCGGATCCTTGCGATAAATGCAAGAGTGACAACTGTAAAAAAATCGAATACTTCATCATTTCTCAATAGTGATGGAGTAATACGACATGCACTAAACTAAGGACACGGGATATACTATAATAGATCAATTTACTGGTCACAGTAGTGTTAGGTCCCGAACAGAGGAAAAAAAAATCTTATGTAAGAAAATATCAAACCCACCTGTCCCTGTGAAATGATGAAAATCCCCCTCTCCTCTCCTTTCTCATCCTATTCCCTTACATAATTTGTGGATAATCCCGTAATAATTCATATGGATCTGAGCAGTGCTCGCTGAAGCCAGATCACTTTTTGCACGAGGTTCTCAAAAACTATTTTTAATTCTAGTTATGAAACTAGAAAAAAAAAACGGTCGGTTAAGGTCAAGTTGATGGAAAATTTAAAATTAAAATGTTACATACAAACATATGTATACATACAAACATAAGGGGTTTTCGTGAGAATTTCCAAAGATATAATGATTTAAATTAATCAAGAATACGCAAAAATTGAGCACATTTGAAAACTGCTTGAGCCCCTAGTTACCGAGGGGCCCATAGATTTTACCTTTACCGAACTTTTTTTCTAGTTTCATAACTAGAACTACTTAACGAGTACAAAGCAATGTATTTGAGAACCTAGTGCAAAAAGTGGCCTGGTTTCAGCGAGAATTGCTCATCTACCACAATAATTTTGGCACCGTTCCATATTTTTCCGACCATTGTGTGATGGTTTGAATTAACTAAAGTTTAAGTTTGCAAACAAAATAGCGGATTAAAAATAATCGATACTACCTTTAAATCAACAGGGTTTTCAGTTTCAACCATATTTTTATTGGATTCAAAACTAAAATCGATTCTCTTCCTGTCTTCTACAAAAAAAACCCTACATTTACATGGATTGTCTCCAATTCATGGAGACGCTTGATACCTGACAATTTCCATACCCCAGAACCAGCAAATTCACATTAAAATTTTGCATCTCTCCAATCAGATAAATCTGACCGACTTGTTTTACACATGTTTCTTTTATATAGTATAGGGGAAATGCGGGAAAAATTAGCATAGCAGGTCAAATTAACACTTGACTTTTTTAACGGTAAAATCATCGAAATTCTGTAAATGCAAATAATTGATGGAACAGAAGACGCATCGATTGAATTGTCTCTATTCTGATTTAATTGATATTTTGATAAACTTAACTAGGTATTCATTCTACCCGCATTTCCCTTACACATGTCGAGGGACACAGCGCTCACACTTTTGCAACTATTCGAAACTAGGTCAGGAATTTAGCAAACAGCCTCCACCCGCAAGCTATTTTTGCAACCACTAACTGTGACACACCAACACACGTGACCTGCGCGCGCTAAATGAGAATCATACGGACACGGATACAAAGTGCTTTTCTCTCGAGCATCGACCTTGGCAGGGTGCTTGCATCCTGTCCCCCCATGGGTTTCCGATCAGATTCCAAGGATTTCCCCCCTAGCAACGTAACAATGACGCTGATACTTACGATTCCTGTAATAGCTGGCATCGGATCGATGATTGAGGTCATCCTCGCCAGCCTGAGCCAGCTTGGGATCGTTTGTTGTCGCAATGGGGGCCATCTCCTTCTGTTACCCGTCACTTGATGCCGTTTGTTATGCTAGGTAAGTGCTCTCAGCTGTTTGCTGTTTCCGCCTTGACACTTTTTTGTTCTGCTGCACTTCCCTTGTGTGGCGATGCAATTTATTGATTTTTGTTCTCGAGAAAATGCACGGCGATGTTTGTTATGATTTCTACTATAGGTGATTCTTGGGACTTTCACTAATCAACGTGTGCTGGTATCACGCAATTTTACACCCTGATTCTAACACAATTAAGTAGATTCTTCCAAACTGTGCAAATAACTGCTGCTGCTTCGCGCGGAATCGACTGCTGCAAGTTTCGCGGTTGATTTCTAATTGCAACTAATTGGCGTTTTTACCGAACGAGTCAACCGGGAAAAATGTGCTCAATTTTCTTCAAATCGAACCAAAACAAACTCAAAGGATACAGAACGAATGCACCCACAACAACACGGTGGCACGCGAGAATGCACTTGTCCAATTGCTGCAGTTGCACTTTGTACGCGGGCGCGTTTTGAAACTACCACAAACTACTAGCGCTCGATCGTTGCTATACGCTTGATGACAGACAAGACAACAGCACTATAGGCAGCTGGGCAGGTTGACCGTGAAACAGGTTGTTAAACCCGGGTGCTCTCTCTTCTTCGGTAGTATGCCGAACTCTGAATTAACTGTCCGACGATGGTGCAGGATCGACTTGCTGTACAGATTTATTATCAATAAACTAGTACTTTTTTTTTACTTAAAGCGGTAGGTAACTTTCCACTCACAGATGCAACAGTTAGCCGTTTTGTGTTTACAAACAGCAGATTCAAAACAGAACTAAATCACCTAATCGTGCCGGGTTAATTCAACCACGTCGGCCAATACTCGACTCGAAACCAAAATACGATGAGTGTACCGTTCCAAGGTGTTAGTTGTACGAGTAGGTAGTAGTAACCGATACAAACTACTATTTCGCCAATTTTCTAGCACCAACAAATTTCGGCCCACAGAAAGCACACACAAACGTTATGTAAAACTTCTTGGAAATTGCACGCCCCTAGAGCACGGTGGTTTTGAAACACTTTCTCGTCTCTTCACTGAAATGATTCGATGAGGTATGTTCGATCAGCTTGCGGACATCCGTCATGCCATGGGCTATAACACGGGAACTGATCGGGACTCCGGGGTAGCCAGCCTGGGGCGGATTCTTCTGAGCCAGCTTAATAACTCTCGCTTAACGGTAAGTTTAAGAAACGATTCTCGGCTCCGACTACGACGACGACGACGACGCTCGGCACTCGAACACCACGATACGAAGGCACAGGCAGACAGAACTGAACTGATTCTGATTGCTGTGAGAGGGGCCCGGACTCTTAGGATTCGCAAATAATTTAAAATCTAGAGCGCACCACTGCTGCGACTTGCAACTGAACTCCGTACAAAATACAGACGGCGACGACGGGACACAGAAGGAGAAGATTAAAAATAATTCTTGACCGCACGACGGGCAGAAATAAAATGTGAGTGATTGCCGCTGATCGCACAACGACGGTGGCGAAGGCGGCGGCGGCACCGTATGCGAACAGGCTCCTATAACAACAGTGAATGCTTGATAGGTATTGTGTGTGTCGATGTGTGCTGGTTCGGCGGCGTCGTAGTTTTGAAAATTGATTGTGACGACAGCTAATATCAATTGAGATCGGTCGAAAATATTGCTCTGACGCACGTATATTCACAGTTCCATCAATTTCCCCATGTACGATTCGATTATGTTTGCTTACATATTTTATTTTCGTATGGTATCAAGCTGGAGCTGATTTGTCCAGACTTATCCCATTTGAATAAATTGTGAGTCTATCTTTCGGTAATACACAGACTGTTGGCATATTTATGGAAAGAATTTGAGATCGCAAGTGAATTTATAAAGAAAATACCCCCGTGACGTGGGTAGATCACTTTTTCGTGGTACGTTACGGGATGTAAGATCTACCACCGATTCCTAGTTCTGACTACTTCAAACTAGGGGAACAGGATTTTTCAATTATCCAAGGAACTCATCTTAGTCCTTGTTACTTTTTATGCCTTATTGATAGTGACAAAACTCGGCTTTGTCTACCGAGGATGATCTTCAAACAAGAAAAAAATGAGTTAGTTGTCTTCATCTATGTGATTTCTAATCTTCTATTCGTTGTTCCCTAGTTTGAAGTGGTTAAGACTCATGTGTCTTACCTTAATTTTGTTGCTAAGGAATCCAATTTTGACTGGCAAAGGAACGCGCCTTTTATTGGACTATTCGGAAGGGCAAAGAAGTTCGACTGAACGGTTTAGCGGTAGACAGATGACTAAATTTTCTTTATTACAGGTATCACTTATATACTAGAACAGGGAATCACTGGTTGCTTCGATTCGGATACTCTAACACTCCTCCTCGACATCGAATGCTAGAATTCCTGTCGCTTCGCAGTTTATCCAACTTCACACTGGTTAACGGCTTCGTCATCATGTCTGCCAACATGTCTTCTGTGGGGCAGTACAGCAAACTAATGATGTTCTTGTTCTTCAGATCCTTGACGAAACAGTACTTCGTATCCACGTGTTTCGATTGCTGATCCACTTTCTCGTTCTCTACCTGCCGAATGCAGCTTTGATTGTCCTCACGTATGCAGATGGGATGATTGACTTGCTTCCCTAGGTCCTTCAGCAATTTCAGCAACCATTGCACTTCCTGACAAGCCTCAGCCAGGGCGATGAATTCAGACTCAGTGGACGAAAGCGCCACACATGACTGCTTTCTTGATGCCCAACTCACAACGCCATTACCGAGGAAGATTAGAAATCCAGACGTTGATTTTCTATCTCGGGTGTCCCCGGCCCAGTCAGCATCGCAATAGACCATCAATGCAGCGTTCGATGATCCAAGCTGCACCGCGAAATTTCGTGTGTGGACAAGGTACCGCAGCACCCTTTTGGCTTCAATCCAATCCTTGGTCCTCGGTTTACTAACGGACCGTCCCAGAATTGAAGCGCTGATGGAAATATCCGGCCGTGAGTTTACCGCGATATATAGCAAACCTCCTACCAGACTTTGATAAAGGTCGCCTTTTGGTAGCTCCGCCGAATTCTCCTCCTTTTGCTGATATCCGGGATCCATTGGAATTTTCGAGCCCTTGGCTTCCGAGAGACCAAACTGGCCAGCAAGTTTCAATATGTATGCCTGTTGATTTAAACGGTAACCGTTGGCGGATTTAGTTACCTGAATTCCAAGGAACACTTGAATGTCGCCCAAGACTGTCAATTTGAAGCATCGTTGCAAATCGTGAACTACTTCACGGAACTCTATTTCGCTGTGGCACACGACAAGAATATCGAATACATAGATCAGGATGAACGATTTCTGTCCCTTCGTTGTCCGGACGTAGAGGCACGCATCTGCCACCGACTGACAAAATCCAGCTTTCTTAAAGACATCGTCAATCGTCCGATTCCATACTCTTGCCGCTTGTTTCAACCCATATAGACTGCGATTGAGCCGGCACACGCCCGTTCCATTCGGACCCTTGGTTTCGTATCCTGGCGGCTGCTTCATGTAGACCTCTTCTTTTAAAGCTCCATACAAGTACGCCGTCTTGATGTCCAGGTGCTTCACCAGAAGCTTACGTTCTGCTGCGATGGTCAATAACGTCCGAAACGTAACTTGACGAGCTACAGGTGCAAAAACTTCATCGAAGTCGGTCCCATACTTCTGTGAAAAGCCTTGCGCAACCAGCCTGGCTTTATACCGGACAACGTTTCCTGTGGTGTCTTCCTTCTGCTTATACGCCCACTTGCATCCAACGGGCTTGCGGTTCTCGGGCAGATCAACAATCTCCCAAGTGTCATTCTCCATCAACGACCGGAATTCCTCATCCATCGCTGCCATCCAATACTCACGATTGATCCCATTGATTGCTTCACGGTAGTTTCGTGGCTCTCGTTCGCCACTAGATGCTGCTTGGACTGTCTCACTATATCGAGCTGGTCGGATACCTTTCGTGGTTCGGCTCGATCTCCTGACTTGACATGTTTCATCGTCGTCGTCCTCGATCAATGTGGCATCTCCATCATCCGATTTGTCATCGTATTCTGAATCGTCCGACGAGATACTTGAGCTCTCATCGTTCGAATTTTCTTCCTCGATCTCACCGACTGGATTGACATCAGTGTTGATTGGTTTGCTGAATTCGAATTCAATCACCTCTTCCACTGGTAGCGATTCCACTGCCCGGTCCAAGGAACGCTCGGACACTTCCGACGCGGTGTGCTCCTCCTCAACGAAATTGGCATCTCGGCTGACGATTACTTTCCTTGTAGATCGATCCAAAAAACGATACGCCTTATGGTCCAACGAATATCCAACAAACGTTAGCTTCTTTGCTGTCGGATTCATTTTCTTGCGCTTTTGTTTGGGGACGTGAACGAATGCAGCACATCCAAATGCTTTCAAATGCGCTACGTCCGGCATTGTTCCAGTCCAAAACTCGAACGGTGTTTTGGGAATTGACTTCGATGGTAACCTGTTCTGTAAATAGACAGCAGTACTTACGGCTTCTGCCCAGTAGCACTCCGGAAGCTTTGCATCGAATAACATGCAGCGACTCATCTCGACCAGGTACCGGTTCTTCCTCTCGGCGACTCCATTTTGCTGGGGAGAGTAGCTGGCGGTAAACTGTGGCTTGATTCCTTCTTGCTTGTAGAATTTCATCAGCTCGTTTCCGGTGTACTCACCACCCTGGTCGGATCGGATGGCTTTCGGCTTTCGTCCGAACTGGGTTTTCACGTATGCCACATATTCCTTCAGCTTCTCTGGAACCTCCTCCTTCTTCCGCAGCAGATACAGCACACAGAATCGACTGTAGTCATCAATGACGGTCATGAAGTACCGATAACCAGACACTGATGCATTGTCGATCGGGCCACAAACGTCTGTGTGCACAATGTCCAGCATTGCACGAGATTTGCGTTCGACCGATTTAGGGAATGACTTTCTGCATAGCTTCGCTCGCTGACAACATTCGCATCCTTGCTTGACTCCGCAGTCGTACACCTTCAAGCCGGTCACCAGATTCTTCTTCAGCATCACGCTTAGAGCTTCAGGATCCCGATGTCCAAATCTTCGGTGCCAGACGTGCTGACAATCAACTTCGTGGTGGTCGTTCACAGCCATCGAAACTTCACAAGTCGTTTTCACCTTATAAAGGCCACTTGTTTTCTCGGCGACAATTGCCACGGTACCACCAACAAGAACACGACATCCTCCAGCGTCGAACATCACAGCAGCTCCCTTCTCTGTGAGCTTTGGCACTGACATCAGGTTCATTTCCAAGCTTGGAACAAACAACACGTTGCTTAGAGACACATCGGTTGTTTTTCCGTCTCCATGGTAACACGAAATTTTTCCGCTACCAGCACCTTCGACCTTCGCAACTTTTCCATCAGCCAGAGTAACGGTTTTCACTTGGCTCTTCTGGATTTCCTCGAAAAAATCGGAGTCACAGCACATGTGCGCGGACGCACCTGAATCCACAATCCATTCCGCATGGTCCGATTGCTCATGCACTCCCAAAGCAAACGTAACGGTTTCGTTTTCACTGCGCACGCTTTTCACCTTCGGGGATTTTTCCTTACCGTCAACCGATTCCTTCGCATACAGCCTGCATTCCGATTGCTTGTGTCCAGGTTTCTTGCAGAAATGGCACGTTAACGGCTTCTTCTTCTTCTTCTGGAATCCTGCTTTCATCGCTGAACTTGAAGAACCTTGACTTCGTCTCTTCGCCACTTCATCTAACAGCTTCCCTTTCACCAGCTCCAGTTTCAGCTCCTCATCGGACCGGCTTTCCAGGGCCGTGGTCAACGTATCGAACGAATCAGGCAGGCTCCTAAGAACGAGGGCGACCATTAACGCTTCACCCAGGTTCAGTCCAGCGCACGACAGCTTCGTGAACAACTCTTCCAGCTCGAAAAGATGATTCTGCATGTCGTCCCCGTCGTTGAATGATATGTTGCAAATCCGTTTCAGCAGCGCAACCTTGGAACAAAGGGATGTTTTTTCGTGGTGTTTCTTGAGGCTTTCCCAGGCTTCCTTGGCGTTCTTCGTTTCGCGAATCAGCATGTGTTGTTGGTCTTCGACAAGCAGCGCAATCGTCGCTCTTGCCTTCCGGTCACCGGATTTCCAGCCTTCCGTCACCGGTTCTGGAGCCGCGTCTTCGATGTACCGCCACAGGTCCTCCCTGGTCAGCAGCATCTCCGCCTTGAACTTCCAAACCGAATAGTTGGAATTGTTCAGTTTAACAACCGACACTTTGTTGCCTTCCATGGAACTTCCAGAATTTTCACACTGAAGTGAAAAAAAATCTTCAAACAAATTCAAACGTTGCTATGCGACGGTTGTCCTGGGCCCATAACCTATTGGACTATTCGGAAGGGCAAAGAAGTTC